TTAATACCTTCGAAGAATTCGAAATTCCAAAATTCTCAAGAATCTGAAAAAAAAAAAGATCTCATTTCATTCGCAATTCCAAAATTCTCAAATATAACCATCATATAACACCACATTCGAAACTCGAAAATTCTCAAATTTGATAGATCGAGAAAAAGAAGATTTCATTTTCACAAAACTTCGAATTTTCTTAACCCTCTCCCTCCCTGTACAATCTCGTACAATTAAACGGATACGCGTGCGATCCTCGGAAAGACAAGGTTCAACGGGTTCTCAAGAAACCCGAAGAATTCGAAGTCATCGTGCGTGCGATGGGAACGAGGAAAGCCACGATCTCAGTTCCAACCGATCCGCGAAATTTGTTTGCGAAAGAAACGCGAGATCGCATCGCCGCTCCCTCCTCCCCCCCCCTCCTCCCTTTTTACGTACGCGGGATCATCGGATCGGAAAATCATCATCCGCCGTTTCCTGCAATTACCATCCCACGGACAAAGGCGTTCGCGTGCGTTTCTGGCGTATACATACGTTGCACACACAGTCATCGTGTGTCGGGAAATCATCATCCGTCATTTCCCCCCTCCCCCTCCCCCCCGCCCCTCCTCTACCCCCTGCCCCCGGCAGCAATCCCAATCTCGCCCTCTCCGTCGCACTCGCGTGCGTGCCGGGTTGGCTGCGTGCGGATCGCATTTCGGTGCGCGTTCACCGGGGGTTGAACGATATCGCTCTGTTCCGGATAGAAAGGCAACCGGTTTCTCTCCTCGTTTAATCCGCTCCTTTTCCTGATTCCGCTTGTTTACCCTTCTCGTGCTCCTCGTTATTTCTCCACCGACCATCAACGGAACCACCATCCACTCGAATTAACCGTAATTCGGAATCATTACGGCTCAACGTGTATTTTTTTAATAAATTTAGAGGAAAAAGTTTAATCTAGGGGAAATTTTATTAGAAATGTTAATTTTGATAGATATTTTATAAAGCTATTTTATGGCGATAATAATAAGTAGTAATAGTATTAGTTAAGTTCAAAAGAAAGATATGTTTCGTTGATTTTTTTTTCGAAAGCAATTTTGAGAAATTGTTCAAAAGTGTAGATAGAATCGTTTTAATTTTTCTATTTTTTAATTTGATATTTGATATTTTTAATATATTGATGTATCAAGTGGAAATAATATACGATATATCCATTTGGTGAGACAGATCTGCCGCAATATATTACGAAGATGAATCGTTCGATTGAATCGAGACCAGTTTGAATTGAGATCTGAGAATGTAGCGAAACTTGTTGTTAGCTGTTACATTGATGTAACGAGGAATCGTGAATGTTATTATAAATTTATTTGTATTTATTCCATTTCCAGTTCGTATCCTAACAATTTTCACAAAAATTCCATTTTTATCATCGCGTCCCCCGAAATTTAAATTCTGACACGAAACGATTTCTCTCTTTACTCAAAGTAAAGATTCGAAATTATTCCAAAGTCGAATAAGTGATCATCGCGAAAAGAAACATTTGCATTTATCCACCGGATCGAAATTATCGTTTTTACTATCGAATAAAAATCCATCGGAAGGATTTTCGATGTTTCGAATTTACTCTCATCGCCAACGCGATAATTACTCGAAACAATTGGAACGTTAACCAGATTAGATAATCGTGGAAATATACGGAAAACGTGGTGTTGCGTTAGCAAAGGGGATGATGCGTAAACGTGACACGTGGAACGAAACTGACATTCTTGGCGTGACTAGCCAACCAGTTGAGAGTGCAGATACACGTTGAATATTACGCTGTATAATATTTTCACGAATACGAGACATATCGATTCGACAAAATGAGTGTTACGTACCTGATGGAAACCAAGGTAACTTTCTATGCTGTGGGTGGCGAAGAACACTTCCCCGTCGCAGGTGAGTATGAGCAGGAACCCGTTCAGCGCCTGTAACATAAAATCATTTTGCAATAATTAGTTTAAACTCAATCGTTGACGTTCTATTAAATTATTTCGTAATCTGCAGTAATCTCAGTCCCATCCATTTTAATCCTTTAATTGAAATATTACCAAACCTCGTAACTATTTTACAATTTTAGCTGGTAATCCTTATCTCCAAATGTTTCTAAATTTGAATTCCAAATGAAGTATTGCTATATAGACAATTATTTCATTCCATTTTTCGTTGAAATACTATTAAATCTCGATTAAATGTAACATAACCTAAAAAAACGTATACATAAAATAACATTCAAAATACGTTACATTATAATATTACTTTATTAAGAATAAACAATCAATATCAACTGTGGATTGAGAAGAATAATCGTAAAACTCCATTAAAAAGAAAGAAAGAAATGTGCAATGATAATTCACCGATGGAAAGAAAGGTACACCGCAACGAGTGCCCGTTTCCTTTCCAAAAAGGAGGGATCGCCGGCTCGAACGTTCCGGAAAGTTTTCCCATTTATCGACGTGGGCCGATGGTGGTGGTGGGTTTCGAATACCAAAACGAGCTGGAAACTCGAACGAGTACGTATCGAGGCCCGAAATATCCGTCCTAGTTTAAAACGGAGGCTAGAACAGCGCGGGGGAGTGAGCCGTTTAAAGCACTCGCCCGCCCGTTTCCCCCACAGTTAAATGTGTATTGTTTTGTTTTATTTCGACCCGTTGCCGTAGGTGGCCGTGCCAGGCACTGTCTGACGGCTTTTATTGGAATATGAAGAGAGAGACTTCGTATCGTGTCAACCCGATTTTCCTTTTACTACCGATTCCTAAGGGTAAAAGCGCGCACGATCGTGGAATGGACGATATTATTTATTTTTCGTCGACTCGAACGTTTGGAGCCGCGTATAAAACTGCGATTTTCGAACTGATGTTATACATTAAAAAATTGTGAAACGACGCGAACACGATGTGCTCGTTACGAGAAAATTTCAATTTTGCGAAAAATCGTTCGGGTTTAATAGTCGAAAAGATTGGAAATTTTAGATGGACAGTAGGAGGCTCGAAGAGAATTCAGTGGTAGAGGACACCATAACCGACAGTGGAATGGTTGGGGGGGGGGAGGGGGGTTCATCGAAGCGATCGCATGCGCGACGGATGCTGCGATTTGATTGGTTGATCCGGAGGGTGGGTTTCTCTCTCGCGTCAATACGGATCAGCGCGGAGGGTGAGTTGGCTCGATCGAGCCCCCCTGTACCAGGAATATAAGCTGTAATAGGATTTTCCCGCCGCCTTCCCTTCGAAATGGCCGACATTGGCCATTTCTGTAAACCATCCCCCATGGGATTCCATTTAATCGGCATGATTGCATCCTATTCAATACCGAATAAAAGGTAAACAAATGTTGTTCTATTGTAATTATGTAAAAAATGTAAAGAACGAAGAGTACAGGGAAGAGTACTGAGATATGAAATAATGAATTACCATTATTTTGATTTTTCCAAATGTACGTGTAATATAAAAATATCCTTTTTTCGATTCTCTGATAGATAAAGGATGCATTTTTCAAACGAGATTATAAATTAAGTATTAGAAATAAAGAAAAATATATATATATATATATATTTTGAAAATTGTATCACAACTAAAGATTGCATATTACTAGAACGTAATTTAATTGAATTTATATCTCGTACATTTCAAATTAATATCAACGTAACATCCAATAGGATATTTGATTAAATTTCCGTCAAGAAAATTGGAATGGAACAGATAACTCTTAATTCGAAGATCCAGTTCACGGTGGTGGACGAGAGAGAGAGATGGAGGAAGAGCATCGAAGGGTGAAATGGGGAGGAGGAGGAGAAAATCGATGGATTTTTATTTCTCGCGTGTGGTGACCGGGAGCGAATCAGTCGCGTGCCGAGTGTGCGAATACTCGCGTGTTCCGTCCAAGCGTGAACTTCTAATACCCCTTCATCCTCACCTTGACTCTCGTGTATTAGCGGGTCGCCAATAATACTTCACGCACGAAATCTTTCCATTTTCTTCGCTCATGCAACTAGAAGTCACGGACACGGCCACGGATCGGCCTCTACGCAGAATACCTACAATCGGGATTCCACCTCTTTCGATGCTCTTTGCATTTCCTCTCCTCCTCCTTCTCTTAGTCTCTGCATAAAGTCTTTAGAGACTTTCCATCCGTTCCTCTACTTACCAGAGATTGCTGAACTAAAATTCGAGAATCGTATCTTTGCAATTCCTCTTCCCTGTTTTTTTCAAGTAGCAGCAAGGTATCGTTGAATTGCATCTTCTTCAATGTGTTTCTCGTAGATATTATTAATAGGAGATTCTCGATCTTTCGCAATTGCGAAACTAAAATTCGAGAATCGTATCTTTGCAATTCCTCTTCCCTGTTTTTTCAA